TTCCAGCTGCTGAATATATTGCTTTCATTACAGTGGAACAAGCCCAAACTTTGAAATTCCTTGAAACAACTTTGATTTACTTTCTTGAAGGGATAAAGATGTAATTCAGCTGGAATTTTAAGAAGCCATATAGTCTTATAGTTGAAGGTAGAAATTATATTGCTGAACTTTCTTCATGTACTTCAGTGAAACTTACAGTGGATTTTGTCCATATATGCTAAGCAAAGAACCCATGAAATAGTTGGTTGGTTGGAAGATAAGTAAAAGATTAAAAAGATTAACTTATCTGGTGTTTCCAATGAGATGTTTGACTACAAGTCCATTATCAGGTTGTGTGGACTGGAATGATAGGACGTGTAATGCCAATTTTTTAAAGCATTTATACAGAGTAAGACAGTACGTTATGCCTCTTGAAGGAAAAAATAATAATAATAAAAGACTCATATTGTAAAATTCTAGAAAAGGAGATAAAGCATTGAGTATACATTGTAGAAAGCACACCTTGGAAGCACCCCCCCCCCCTTTTAGATTGTTTAAAGTGGAACTTGATCAATTATGTGTCTTAAATATGGAATACTCATTGAACTGTATGAAATAACTCTATTAGGAACAGGGGGAAAAATTGATAAGCTATTGGCTTGTCATCTGAAACAATTGAATCAAAGTAGGATTATACTTGCAATAGGAGATTTTGGAGGAATAATCCACAGAGACAACAATGAAATTAACTTTCTGTTTCTGGAGTATAATAAAACTTTATATTCTGAAAATGTAGGCATATTCATTGAGAAAATGCTTTTTTTCAGATAGAATAAATCTTCCAGAGATCTTGTTCTTTCAGAAGATTTAGCTGCACCCTGAACTAATATTTGACATAATTGAAACAATAAAATCTGGAATTCCCACCCCGCACCCCAGGCTGGATGGGATTCCTTCAGTGGCATAAAAAAAATAAGGAAAACATGATTCCTATTCTGTTAGAGGTTCACAAGGAATCTTTTGAAAATAGGGCCTTAGCTTAATCATATTATAAGGCATTCATTACAGTATTTTGAAACCAAGAAAGGATCCTAGCAATTGTGTGAACTGTCATTCTTAAATGTCGATGCCAGCCTTTTAACAGCTACTTCTTTCACATAGGCTGCAGAAGATGTTACCTTCAATAAGTCACCCAACAGAATTCAATTTCATTATAGAATATCAAGTGTCTGCTAATATTAGTCTTCTGGTTGACCTATTAGCTTTGTATGAAGATGGAAATGAAAGAGCCATATTGGAACTGTTGGATGCAGAAACAGCCTTTGATATGATGCAAATTAAGCTTTTAGAGCAAGTCACAAAGAGAAAGTGATGTTACTAAGCAGAAGTTAAATAGGAAATGTTTAGGAAATGTTCATTTTTGGATTACCTCACAACAGAATCCATGTTAAAACTGAAGTGACCTGTTTCAGATTCCTTTGCAGAACTGTTTCTTAGGTTATTTATTTCTTGTGGCTAGCTTGATTCTATAGGCCTTATTCAACTGTAACAGCAGAAAAAAATCATTGCCCAAACTTGTCAATGAGCTTCTTTGTCTGCCTGATTGGTGGCTGCTTACCTTCTAGATACATTATTCTATTTTGAAACCAATTGAATTGATTTGATTGATTTTTATCCTGTTTTTTATTTAGAAGTGCAAAGTGTCATTCATAATACTCTCTTCTCCCATATTTCTCACAGCAAAAAGCCTGTGAGGTTGACTGGGCTCAGAGAGAGTGACTGGCTCAGTCACTTGGAGAGCTTCTGTGGCTGAAGGCAGACCTGAACTGGTTCTCTCCAGTTTCAGTCCAGTATCTTAACCACTATATCACAATGACCGTCCAGCTTAATCTGTCTGAAAAAAACTGAACAACATTCAGTTGTGAACTCTGCCTGATCTTCCAGCTTTGCCAGATGGCATAGAAATGAACTTTTTCAAGTCATCTTATGTTTACTATTTCAATGTTACAATACTTTTGATCTTTGACTAAATAGGTGTGTTTTCCACCCCCTACATTCTTATAAATAGATGCTACCTACATCATTTCATTACTTTAAAAGGGACTGCTTGCCCAGATAGTCAGGATAATAAATTCTTCACATTTTCTTCATGTGGCTTCCCCCCCACCCCCCATGTAGTTGTCTGAAGTCTCTCACAAAATCTTTCCTGATGACAATGGTCGAGAAATATTCCTTGCTGGTAAGTTAAATTAGAGGAGTTTTCTCTATGAGACAAGGCACTCAAAAATGGTAAAAAGGTATAGGAGAATTAGAAAATTTTCCCATGCCATGAATTGGCCAGAGAGATATCCCAAAAGAAGAACACAATTGATGTTAAAGTACAGTTGTTCCCGGAGATTCAAGGGAGATGGAATTTCTCTGAGACTATGGGGAAATATGCAATATGTCAGTGTATATTGAATATAAGATTCTTGGGGGGCGGGGCAGCAGAAGAGGACTTCACTTCCTTCATTTCATGTGCTCTGCTTGCTCTTCTTGCCTGGATCAATAAATTTAAGGGGAAAAAAGTGTTGGTGAATTGGTGGCTTGCAGAGGAAGGTTATTAGGAGTGGAATAGAAAGGAAAACCATAAATGTTTCAGGTACATTCAGGATTTAAAAAGTTCATCTTATTTGGTTCAAGGTTTGAAATGTTCACAAGTAAGTTTTCAAACTTTGCTGAAGGGGGGAAAAAAATGTTATATGGCAGGGTTCCTCAACCTTGGCAACTTTAAGATGGGTGGACTTCAACTCCCAGAATTTCCTAGCCAGCACTGCTGGGCTGGGGAATGCTGGAGGTGAAGAGTCACCACTCCAAAACTATTGGAGGTTTGGAAAGCCACCTTTTTGTAA